TACCATTACAGCAAAGTGGACATCCCCTACCATGGTGAAGGCCAATCCATGACTCAGGACACATTATCGTATCTTGTATAGTTATAGCCACACTTTGTTTTTTGCTCCTTCAAAGAAAAACAAACGCACACATTTATTTTTTAAGAGACATTTTATTCTTTTTTAGGTGGAGAGGAGGGAATGGTGTTTTGAGTGAATCATTGCATTGGAAGCAAATACACATAGTAATATCAATTAGCATGTAGGATAACAAATATCCAAATTTGGCACAGGTTTGCACAAGAGAACATTTTTAACACTGCCTGCAGAAAATGTCTAAGCGGAGTAAAATATCGTATGGCTTTACAATGAGTCAATATGGACTTTATTAATGGAATTTTACTTTTGACTTTGGTGAATAATGTCAAGCACTTTTAAAATCAAACAGTATCTCCTGAGAACCAGTAACGTCATGTGCCATGCAAAGGCTAATCTGTGCGAATGCCAGCGATGTGGCATCTCTGAAATTTTCATATACACAAAATGCATGCGCTTACTGCTAATTACCTGATGCTTCTAAAATTCCTGCAACAAAAATGCCATGATGCTTTTGCCTCACTCAGTAACATGGCACATGGTTCACTCAGTACAAATAAGTGATTGCATTCCAATGTAAAATGGATCAGATGTGAGAAGGAATTATTGCTAAAATATTATATCCAGTTTTTCATTTACTGCTACACAGCAAGTCCTGTGGCTCAGTAACTGCTAGCCCAACAAATTCTGCAAGTTGGTCAGTTCATGCAGTACAAATAACCATACAGTAACCTCAGTAAACCAGATGAAAAAAAATCCACCAGCCAGGTTAGAATTTTCCTACTGAAGAAGCAGCTCATGGCAAGCACTGTGTATATGCCTCTGAGCTGGTCATAATATATGTCAGAATGTAAATATCTGGTTGCAGGACCAGATTTAAGCATTAGACACATTATGTCTGTGGCAAACAATTAGTGGCTTTTTCTTAATACAGGGGGACTGATTTATGGAAAGACTTTATAACGACAGGCAGGTTAAGTGATGGCGGCAAGCCCAACTGATAGTCATGGCAAGTGTCCCCATACCCAGGAACATGGACAGAGGCTCCTAAAGAACGTCAGATGCACATAATGGAAAACAACGCATAATGAAAATCATCCAACGCCAAAGTAACACAAATGTGCCATCCTACCTGCACTGTATGAATGGCTTTGGTTTCTTTCAGAAGTACATAAAACTGACATTTAAGAAAATTGAGAAAAATGTCTTGAAAAACCCCCCCCAACTACAGAGCATATTCGCTATAGGTCTGGCTGGTGGGACAGCACTTGGCATATCATATGTATGCCACTGGTATGACTCTATAAAATATGGATCCTTTAACAAAAATCAGTCCTGAGATATAGGGCTTGCCTAGAAAAAAAAGTTCAGTTCAGTTTCCTTTAAAATATTTGAAAAGTTGTTTTTCTTTACGAGAACGTAATGAAAATGAATCTATTAATTTGAAGAAAAAAAAAATGAAGATGCCGTTTTTACATGATGGGCTTCAATTTTCTTCAAAACTGCTAGCCACACTGTTAAGATGTATTAGTCTATTGCAAAATGCAACTAGACCCGAGCCAAAACTGTGCAAGGTCAACACAAATATATTATCCTCAAAGACTGTGCTGGTCATTAAGTAGTGCATGGCTAAAATAGCTAATGAAGCCAACATTTTTCATCAGTTAGATTTCATAACGTAATGCCAATCTTCTGCAGCCCAACAAGAACTGATGTGAACTGAGCGGTTTGGCTCAGTGCTCGCTTTCCCCCAAAAGTAAGATGTTGATGCAGCCCCTTTTAAAGCACATGTGCAGTAAAGTCTAAAGTGACCCATAGTTGATAGTTGTCCATCCTAGCTGGTTTCAGACAGTTCAGAAGAGAATATCACATCAGCAAGACTCCACAAGATGCCTGGTAAAATTGTTTCTTGCTACTTTCCTCTCTCCATAGAGAGTTTAGCCAAGCTGAGTTTGCAGGCTTGTGCCCGGCTCTACAGCTCTTTTCCTGATAGTGGTCACATTACGACTGCACATCTGACTACACTCTTTAAGGTAATCGATCAGGAGAAAAATATAGTAACAGCCATTGTTTGCTTGTTTTGAAAGCTTACTAACCTGGAGAAAATATGCAATAAAGATTTTCCTGATCTGTAATTTTATTGCCAGAAGAAATGTAAAGTAACCCAGTCAGTCCTGTAATGGATTTTGAAAAGTGGTTGACTGCGACAGAAGTGCTACCATGCTCACCTCTCTGGTGGACCATGTCTCCCATGTTCAGTTCCAGGGCTGCAGCCTTAGACAGATTCTGAAACATTTTGCACTTCTGAGAGTGTGAAATGTCTGTGTTCACCAGCCAGCATTATGGTTCCATCCTCTGAACCCCTGCCCCAATGCTAAATTCCTTAGTGATGTAGCGGTAGGAGAAAGGAAATCGGAGAAACTCGGAGAACAGCATGCAGCAGGGGGGCACAGGTACCCGACTCTCCCAGAAGCTTTTAGTGCTGAAAATACTGATGTAGGCTGCAGTGCTGGATCAGAGGGAAGTCGGGTGCCACAAGCTGCCAGGGAAGAGAGTATGATAGAGCTTGTATCGCAGGGTATCCACAGATTATTTACACAACTGAATGGGTCGAGCTATTAAGTCAGCATTCACAGCCAGGCAACTTTAACTTTCAAAGAGGTTAACAATAATGATAACTTTTTCTCTCATTACAGGCTTGCTTTAAGTGTAAGACATTTTCTTAATTATTTGTGGGGCTATCTTATAAAACCTAGTCCAAAAAAATTGAATAAAAGGAAAGTTATTGGTTGCTATAAGCAAAGGCCTATTTTTGTTACTGTTTTACCAATAGGGATCAATCAGCTTTTTGGCAATTTAATGTAGTAAGACCAAACAAAGATGGATGAGAATGGATGCTATGGGTAACTGGGCTTGTCACATTAAAGTGCTCTCCTGCCCAACTGCTAGTTTTGTGTAAGACTAGGTTGATCCAATCAGAGTCGCATTATGTCTGAACACAAGGACATGAAAGCAGTTTTAACAGTTGAACTGCTAATGGGGGTCGCAATAAGGGACCTACTTTCAAACTTAAAATCCTCTGTGTGGCTTTCACAGACTGCAATGAGGCAAATATATCTCGGTTTGAAAATTCTACTGACTGGTTAAAATGCTGATCCTCTGGCATCACAATCAGTGAAATCAGAACACCTTATCTACATACTTGTCCCTGGCCAGTTACTTAGAAAGCATTGAAGTAAAATACTCAAACCGAGCCGGAAGCTCATTGGTTGCTCGCTCTGTTTGACCAAGAATTTTCTAACATGCTTCTTTGATCAGCTGATCGAGGGATGCCAGTCGAAAAAGTGCCAACAGCGGCACCCACGCTTCAAATATTGGCTGCTTCATCAAAAACATCAGAAGTCATTGGCTTTAACCAATGGCTAAGAACACACACGCAACAAGTGAAATCAGGAAACTTTTCTGCATGCTTCTTCTGGGTCAGTGGTTCAAAGTATCAAAACCATCAAATCAGCTTGAGAGCCAGACAACCAGACTTTTCAGGAGGTCAGCACTGGCACACTACATATTCCCTTCAGTACAGGTTTTCTATTAAAAACTGTATACAAAAAAAGAAAACTATAAAAAAGAAAAACACATATAAAATGTTTCTTTATAGATTAATGTGAAACCATGAACATTATGATACATCCATGTATTTTCCTTAGCAACAGAAAAATCACAACTCTGGTCTAATTAACATTTATTTATAGTTGAGAAGTATCAAGCACAGTGATCCATGCCTGTATAAACCTCGGCATTTTAAGCAGTGTTTTTGTGGGTGTTTATTGTTTCTACATTGTATATGTATCCTAACAAGTGACTATTTAACTTCATTGTACCTTTCCTATTACTACACTGCCATTGTGTGCAGGTGTCATCCCTGCTGCTGCTCTAAAATGACTTCTATATGCCAGACAGAAAGAAGAACTTTGCTCCATCAATGAACACCTACTGATCTCTTATAAAGTATAAAAACACAAGAAAATCGGATTTTGTTAAAAATAAAACCTTCCTCAAATAAAATGACTTATTTTAGACTTTATATGGCAAATCTCAAAATTCCCAGAATCTTTTTATCTCAGAATCATATTTAAATATGATGCTTGTCTCAATAATATCAAGCAATGATTAAAGGCAATCTCAGGAGGCATTTTTACATACCTTTGATTAAAAAAACAAATAAAACGATACAAACCCCATTACCTACTACATTAGTAGGCACTCACTGCCACCAAATTTCTCGTAAATCTGTGAACCTGATAACACATTTAAGGTTCCCACATGCATATCTGCCGTACATTTTTAAATATGTTTTGGTTTTGATTGTACGTCCCCAGACTGCCTGAAGATGACACTGGTGCACTGGTGTCTTTGAAGATGAACCGGTAGCTGACAACATAAGGGGTCAACTTACAGCTTCTTGTAACGATGTCCTCATCGCTTCTCTATTGTCTTTATTAAAGAATATGTAAATAGGGACTTTCTCAAAGTCACTATTTGCATATTTATAGACAAATGGCAATGCCAGGACTTGTGATAGGCCACTCAAGGATTGCATTGAGGGATGGGGACATGCATTTGCTCTACGGACAAGCAAGGAGAGCAGTGCTGGAGGGTACATCAATGCAAAACTAATCTTACATTACAACCTCGGGTTGCTTTAACATCACTCTTTGAACAGTCTAACATTAAGCGTCAAGTTCAACAGCAGACAAATATGGACACAGCTGTCTTAAACTTAATACTGAAAGACAAGTGGTGTATGGTCTATCTATTTTTTTTTTAACACATCATATCAGAAAAAAACCCCCAAAAAACTTATTTGTTACTTTGGAAAAATTCCTTATTTTTTTTCTTTTCTCCCGACTCTGTATTCTTTTTGCTCACCATTAATTTATGCCAGGATTAAAACCTCAAAGGGGTCATTCACACAACTTTAATCATGTGACCTACACAGGTCGCTATGAAATTCTGACCTCATTACAAGTGCTGGAGGCATATTTTTAGCCAACACTAGGATAACAGTGCCAATTAAAATGTTTACACAAAGTATAGGCAACCAATATATTTTCCATTCATTAAACATGACGTAGTGATTCCTTAATAAACATTCTACAAGCGTGTAACAAATGTCAGTAGAATCATGACAGGCACAAATAAAGAGCAGTTCATACAAGCTATCCACAGTATACGTGTGGACCATGCTGTTCTTTGGGAAAAGTCATTCATTTTCAAGTATTATCACTCTCCCTATGACACGTTCTCTGCAACTGACAGTTGATAGATAATGTCTTGCCACTGATTGGTGACTTCAAGCGTCAGCTTGCAAATGTACACATGAAAACAAATAGTTTTTCCCTTTTTTAGTACTGTATACAATGACCAGCGTTTTGCATATTGAAATTACAGAGGCAATCTCTGCAATTAATCTGATGATGTTTTGTAGTTTTAATTAAAGGCTGTAGGCTACTCCAGTCATAGTAAATCTGTACACATTAAAAGCCCCAACACTGATGAAAGTACATGTTCATGCATTGAATCCACAGTCCTCCATCAGAGCATGCATGAATTGTTGTCTTTGCTTTTGGTTTTTAGGAGACTATGTAGCTTTATGCCAGAACGGCACTAGCTGTATGCTTATTGCTTACTTCCTGTCTTTGTTTTGTTGTTTGGGCTACAGTTAAGATCCTTTAGCAAAAGTTCACAGTCTGTTAGTACATGAGCTGGCACGTATTTCCTCATTTGCTCCACAGCCCTTTGATATGCTAATTTTTCTTGCTCCAGAGATCGGATCAAGTTTCTCATTTTGCTTTCGCGAGATAAAATTGTTTCAACATTGGTTTCCAGGTTCTGAATCTTTGTGTGAGCTACCTATTATGGAAAGAAGAGAACAAGAACAAGCTAATGACTTCTAGGAGAGTGCAGCATCCATTATCCTGACACATGGAGGAATTAAATGCAAGACAAAAGCTTGATGCAATTCTGACCTACACTGTTATTCTTTCAAAATAATGTCACAAAAGGTAATCTAATGTAACAGAGTAATGTAACATTATGTAATACAACACGACCTAATGTAACAGCCCAATTTTACACTCCTGACCTTATTTGCCATACATTATCACCAGTGCTTTGTTACATACGTTGCACAGTTCAGCAAAAGGAAACAGCTTTTATAGGACTGCAACTAGATCTGTCTCCTCCAATTTACTAATGCATTTCACTAACAGAGAAGTCCACAGATAGACTGTTATGAAAAAGACAAATAGAACAAATATCATTAGGTTTTAATGTGCAATATGCAGTTAGTAAATATACATGAACAAGGAAAGAGCCGTATGCTCATTACATAAGAAGGCCACACTTTCAACTAGTTTTGGAGTAAGTTAGCTTATAAGATAAATGCACTTTAAAACAAAATTAACTTATCCTCTTGGCCCGTTTAAGCTGACCTAATCGATCCTACTCTCCGCTTGCACAGATGCATACTTAACGAGCTCTGACTGGTCTGGCCTCTGTTTTTCTTTTATATCCTGCGGTGAAAGTCCCCTTATCCTGGCTGCACCTGCGCAGTATATCCCCATTGGGCTCTTCTACCTGCATCTTCTGGCCAGGAGACAGGCTCATAAAACTCGGTAAGTTTGTGTCTGTGCAGGGGGAGGGTAGGTTCGATTAGGTCAATTTAAAGAGGCCAAAAGGATTATTTTACTGTTCCTGTCTCTGTGTAGGTCTACTCAGATAAGCTGAAGGCATCAGACCCTTTCTATGGCTTATCCTTTTATCTATGCAATTATTTTTTAGGGAAGTTAACTTTAATTAGACAGCCATTAGAGGAAGACTGTACACATATTACACTGAGATGTCTAAGACACATGAAAATGTATTTTCATGTAAACATTACAACAACTTAAATGAGTAATAACTAGAAATGGAATATTGCTTCCCTTTTTCATTTTGTATCCTGGCAGATACTACTTTTTTACATTTTCTTAATTGAATGACCCACATACAAATATACATACATGTCCTTTCCATATATTACAGAACTAGGCAAGGTCAATATGTCCCAGAAAGTAGACATTCAATACAACGCTATTTTTTTTAAAGTGTTTCTTACCCTATAAATTACATAGATGTGGCTATGTTTTCATATATTTCTTGGTAAATCCATCCTATTTTTATTTACTTCTACATTTGCTTGGAAATACCTGGCGATCCTGCTTGTTCCTCTTCTTTCCTGGTTCAGTCTGACTACGCCAAGCATGGAAGAAGATCTATGCTGCCATGGTAAGTTTGCATATCTAGACTTTCTGCCTGGAGTTAAAGTCAGCATTTCATGTCATTAACTCTAGTAGTCAGGTTAGCTGCCATACCCCCATCCAGCCCTCCACAGGTGGAATAAAATCAGATCCTGCACATCTAGGGTTGGCATCTTTTCTTCCAGCGAAACCCGAACACTCTAGCGACGCACGGGACATTTTTTGAGGAGAATGAGTCGCAGCTTATTTATATGTAAATACCACAACCAATAACATCTAAATATCAAAGTCGAGGCTATTTTCAGTGGGGGGCCAGTAGCCCCTATCTTAATTTTGGTTGCCCTGTCTGCCGGACATCTTATGTCCAAGTTTCAGCTGCCATGAAACCCGGAGACAGCATTCAAAACCCAGACTGTCCGGGTGAAACCCAGACAGGTGGCAACCATATGCACATCACTGTCTATGGCCTGCACCATGGGTTTTTATAGAGCTAAATGTCTTCAGGGACCTGTGAAATCAGAGGAAGCCACAAACATCATCTGTAGTCTCTCCACCCCACCCCTCCGAGCTGAGGGAGATGATGGGAGGACAAAGTGTTACATGACCACCTTTGAAAGCCCCTAAAAAAGGTATTTCCTTTTTTTGTTTTGTTTTTCAGGGTTCAATGTATGGTGACAAGTGTGCATGTGTTTTGTTTTTTAATATTTTGTATTTCCATACACGTTAAGCTCCTCATGGCCAATATTTTCTGCTTACCTGTAGCTTTTCCAGAAGGTCCATGTTTTGTCTTTTCAGCTGGTTATTGGCCTTTTCAAGTCTTTGGAAGGACTCTGTGTCATCACAGGAATTAGAGGCTTCCAGCATCTCATCGTTAATTACATGGTACTCAACCTCATAAGCATGAAGCTGCTTGGAAATGTCCATTTCAAACACCTACATTTAAAAAAGGTAAAAGCTGTTCAGAGCAGTCCCAAACCTCAGGAATATTGTCTTCATGATATCGACAGAAACTATAATACTTTAGGTATCTTTGAAAACATTTGGCTTCTAGACTGGCTATAACCTCACAGGGGCCAGGATTTTACAGAAGGAGTGTAACGTATGTTTTAGCAGTCTACTGCACCTGAACAGTCTCCCAGACACCAAACTAGGCCTATTGTTCAGAAAGCTACACTAAATTCATACTTCACTACATAGCTACTAAAGCATTATTTATACCCACATACTGGCACCCAGGAAAAGATAAAATACATATTCTATATCCTTAAAGCAAAGGTTCAGTTTAATGTTGGCCCCTGCAGGAGCTTGTGCTCACTTGCTACTGACAAAGAAGAGAAATACCCGCTACTTCCAGGTATGGTGGAGCATGTGACAGCAACTGGTCACTCAGGCCTCAATGCAGTCACACGGGGCTGCAAGAGCATTTTCCTGTATACTTTCTGAATAGGACTGACTTGTAACTTATGTATGGCCCTTCATGGAAAACAGGGCAGCAGGGAAGTGACGAGAAGGCACGTATAAGCTGCTTCAGTCGCTGGCTTCAAAACTGTCACTTTGCCTATGCACTGATCTGAGTTGCTGTAATCTAAAGGCAACTACTATTCCAAAAAATAAACTCCAGACAAATTTAGTAATGCAGACAAATATATCATCTATGTTAAAATATCAGGATATTTATGTTAATGTAAAAGTCAGTAACATAACAGGCTGTAACAAAATAAAATGCCACTGAAAAATATGAATTTGCCATAATCCTATTTGTGCTGGTATACAGTTTTTTTAAACCAGGTCAGGTCACCTGCATAATAGTTTTCTCCATCGTGTCCTTTGTCATATCGGGTATATTGATCTTCAGAAAATCCACAATACTCTCAAAGTTGTCACATGCCATTATTAGTTCTTTATTGTTGCCGAGAAGACAAATGGCTACTTTGAAAATGACTTCAGTTCCTTGTACAAAAATAATATCTGAGGAGAAAGCGTGTACCCACATAAGATTAATCACATACAGTAAAAAATGATTACAGGTTGCAGCTTGTAAAGCCAAAACTTATTTAGTTTTGGATAGAGAAGGGAATGATTAGAGCCCCTGCCAATTTTATTGCTGTGTGTCTCTGCGGGGGAGATTCACCCTCTCTATTCGTCCTGGTAACTGTTATCATCCAGACAGAAAATGATGGTATTGGTGATAAGTTACAGTTGTCACCAGACAAGAGAGGAGGGTGCATCTTCCAATGAGGACATATTTTCCAGTGACAACTCACATAGGCCCCTTTTACATAGGGTTCTGTGAATTGCGATCAGTGCACGGGTCCCCTGCTGATCGGAACAGTATGGAATGATGGAGGAAAAAAACAGAATTTACCGGACCGATGTGAGGTCTATGTAGTCCGGTGTACGTGGACATGTGTCTGTGTACATCTGATTACCCACATCCATCACAATTAGGTCCTCCTAAAACGGAACTCTGTTCCGTTTTGTCTTCTGGACTTGGATGGAGTTTTGGGGTAATTGGATGCACGATCGTTTAGATAAGTCTGCCCACAGGCTAACAGTGAGATTCCAATCAGATCAGCCTGAAAATCTGACATATGGATCTGATCGGACCACACATTTGAAAGGGGCCTAAGAGAGGAATTCTAGTCTGTAGAGATTTCCTCTAATTTCCTGTTGAACCAATAAATTAGAGAAAAGCTCATCTATGCGACACGGGCAGCAAACATTAAACTGAAAGGGGTTTTAACCTTTCCCTACTTGATCAAAAAAAAGTTTAGGCTATAGCTATACAGTATATAAGCAAGCTAAAATAACCAGAACAAGTTTAGGCTATACACATACATATACTTTATGTATTTTTAATGTCCCTGACAAATAGGTCATATTGGTAGTTCTCAATAAGTTAAAGTAGAACTGTGAAATGCTGGGTAAGGGGAGGGCACAGCTGGCTCTGGCTCTAGGGAGGCAGAACCATCTGTAAATCAAGTAGCAGGGTGGATCCTGACAATAGTGTTGTGATCTTTCTCAGATGCAGCACCGCTCTGCGCTGTCAGCATATAGCAGACAATAGCCCACTGTATGCTGAGTTTTGGGTCACAGCAGGACATTAGTGAATGTCCTGCTGTGACCCAAAAGAGAACAAATGCCCAAAAAAAGGTTTGTCCGTAGTTCTCTTTAAAGTCAAGATATAGGCTACCACCGCCGCTAACAAGAGAACAAAATTTTCTTATCACTGGGTATGTTTCCCGGGTTTTTCCCTATGTGCGGGAAATGTTGTAACCTTTTTGTTAACTTGCAAAAATAATAAAAAGTACCTTGCAAAAAACAAGAGAACAAAATAGTACTGGGATGAAAGTGAAATTTTGTGTCATTACCTTTTCAGCTTTGGCTTATGAAAAATAGTTTTCTAACACTTTGGATTGTAGTCTCTGTTGACAGGTCTTCCGTGTTTTTTAAAAATCTATTACATTTACTGTAAAATGCTACAAAGCATGCTGGAACAATACAAATAAAACGTAGTACTAACAATAAGACATTAAATGGTTCCTAGTGATCCGATAACATTCAGCTATTTTCAGCTGCGGTTCTCTATGATCTCACTTTGTAATCTGGACATAATCTAGATTGGTTTAAGTATTATTACTGAACTCATAAACCTTCAATTTCAAATTGTGAGCTAGGATAATCACTAACTGCAAACATAAGAATTAGCCTTGAGTAAAACTTCAGTTCTGTTCACAAAGAAGTGTGAAAACATAATAGTGGAGACAGGAAAAGCCCTAACAAAGTCAGCTGACCATACATATGTATGGCCTGCCAGCACCCCTCTATTCAACAAAAGTCAGTTTTTCAATTAAAGCAGTCAGAACGAAAATTGTCAGCAGTACAATGACTGCAGCCAATCAGCAGCCGTTACTGTTCAGATATTCTGAAAGACACCGGAGCTGGCTGTCATAATACAATAGCCAACAGGAGAGATTCCCCCATATATACCGTTTAGCATGGATGGAGGGAAATCAAGTGTTTTGTTCTTGTTTAGCACCTGTTGTAGCCACTTAAAGGAAACCTGTCATGAAAATACTACTTGAGCTGCCATTGCGGACTTTCTTTTAAAAATTGCAAGTCAGAGCAACATATTGCTCTGGCTCAGTTATTCAAAGAGTTAAAGCCACTGGATCAGCGTGACAGTAGGTACAACTGGTATTGTAAAAGAATACGCAATCAAATGCAGCCTATGTATTTTTTTAGGATGCCAGGTTTCCTCCAAAACCGCATTAATATTTTGCATGTTTAATCTATATTTGAAGGCTAATATCCAAACCACTTTTTTCACAATTACTTTGCTTAGCTTTTTGTGCTAGCAGTAAAGAACTGAGCTAGAAGAACCTTGTACTAGGTAATTTTGTGACAATATATTTTATTACTGAGAATTAAAGTGGAATTCCAGCAAGTGACGGATCATTCATATCAACACCAATCTGCCTCCCCAATATGGCAGCCTAAATGTGCTATAGTAGGATTTGCACTAAGCACCGTCCCCTTGCTTTAGGTGAGAAATGGTTGGCGGTGCAAACAGCAGCAGAAAGGCCATGAAATGTCAGTTTCCCCCACAGGCGGGAAAAATGACAGTTCACCGTGGACTAGATTGTAAAAGCTGCCCTTTATGACATATTACAAGAAAAGCACATCTTGGAAGTTCCTATACTTGGCTCCTGGCCATAACTAAAACCTTTTTAGAAGTTTCTAGCTTGTAAGATACATATTTATTTCTATATCCTATGCTTCTAGATTCACAGAAATATGGTTACAGATTTGACTGTTCAAAGCCCTTAGGCAGGTAAAACATCATGTACTGTATATATCAGTGTCTGTAAGAACTCAATTTAAACAAGAAGTCTAGGAGGAAAGTCATCCAGAGAATGTCTGGCAATAGGATACAACGCTAACAGATAAATAAGTAATCACATGACTCCGATATTGATCAGGGTAATGAAGACTACAGTATAACATGAGCCAAATGACCGGGCTACAGCCTTTATGTAATAAGTCCAAAATAAACGGAGTAAAATGACAGGACGTGTGTGCTAAACTTATTTTGTTCCTTTAAAGGTAAAGTCCACATAAAAATAATATTAAATGCATTATTTCATTGGGGCCAGTAAAGTCCCTCTGCCGTTTTGACTTTCTCCATTTACAAATGATGACGATCCAGGATATAAAAGATAAACTTAGCCTTTAAACAGTGTAATTACTACAGGCTGTCCAATTTACAAACAGGCAGACAAGCAAGACTTACCAAAAACTCGAGCAACAAATCCAAGGGAAAATTGGGAGGCAAATAATGTCAAAAACCATGGAGCAGCATAGAGGCTTGGGCTGATGTCATTCACTTCCAAATGGTTGTAGAGATCTCTGTGATAGTCATGCAGAAGTCGGGAAAGTTGGTACATTTGAATCTGCCACCAAAAAAGAAATGTATATTATTCTGCCTTTAAAGCATCTACAGTGACAATAACAAACAGTAGTAAAACAAGATAGACATTAAGGCAAGGTTCACACTTAAGCAACTGAGCTGGCGAGCTGTTTTCGTGCGGTTGTCGCACGGGTTTTCAATGCTAAGAGATGTCTATGGGACCCAAATCGCGTGACATCCGGCCGAAAATCACTCCTGTACTTTTTTGTGCGACAGGCGATTTCTACAGCGCGACAAATTGCAAACGTGTTAACAGCTTCCATAGACTTGAATGCAAATCTCTGTTTTGTGCGATCTCACGGGGTTAAATCCACGCGCTAAATCGCCTAGGTGTGAACCTAGCCTGAAGAGTAACTCAGGGCTTTAAAAAAAAAAAAAAAAAAAACTACATAAAAAAAAAAAATCTTTTTTAAGGG